GGAAGGCTGAGGCGGAAGGATCACCTGAGCCCAGCAGGTCGAGGCTACGGTGGCCATGAGAGTGTCACTGCACTCCAGCCTGGGCAACAGAGGGAGACTCCGACTCAAAATAATAATAATAATAATAATCAAAGCAACAGGCCAGGCATGGAGGCTCACGCCTATAATCCCAGCACTTTTGGAAGTCCACGGTGGGAAGATCACTTGAGGCCAGGAATGTGAGACCAGCCTGGGCAACACGGGGAGACATTGTCTCTGAAAAAAAAGGAGAAGAAAAAGAAAGAAGGGAGGGAGGGAGGGAGAGAGGAAGAGAAGGGAGGGAAGGAGGAAGGAGGAGAAGGAAGAAGGGAAGAAAGGAAGAAACAATAATTAGCTACCCCTGTAATTCTAGCTACTTGGAAGCCAAGGCAGGAGGATCGCTTGAGTCTAGGGTTTCGAGACCAGCCTGGGCAACATAGTGAGGCCAAAAATTCTGAAAAAAATTAATTTTTTTCAAAGAAACGAAATCCATCATGGTAGAAAAGGGCATCAGAAGCCAGGTCGCTTGCCCCTCCCCATTCAGCCCTTCCCGCAAAAAGACCCCGCTGCGGAGCTTAGTTAGCCGGCAGTCTGGGGCAGGTGCAGCTGCGCGCTGGCACAACGCTTAGCGAGGGCGAGCCGGGCCTCCGCCAACCGCAGACCCAGAGGCCACGGCGATCGCGGTCTCGCGAGACTAGAGTTGGGGAAAGCGGCTCCGGGACCTCCCGGAAGTGGGCGAGCGGGCCGGTCCGCTCCTACCCCGGCGGGTGCGCGCCCTGGCCCGTGGGGCCGTGGGTTTCCTCGGGGCGCAGCGCAAGGCGGAGCCGCCGGAAGCTCCCTGCCCCTCGCGCCGCCCCTCCCTTTGCCCTTCACGGCGGCTGCTGCTGCTGGGGCCGCGGCCGGGCAGACGGACGCCTTGCTCCTCCGCTCCCCTTGCGTCCCTTCCCGGACCCCGAAGCGGCATTAGAAGCGCGGGCCCGCGGTGTCCCCGAGGCCGCACGTATAACTCGCGCGGCGGGAGCGCGGGCGCGGCTGGCCCCCGGGAAACGCGCGCCGGCTCTCTGCAGTTCCCGCTGTGCGTGTGCTCGCCGCCCTCCTGGGACAGCTGCCCCCCTCGGTCCCCACGTCCCTATTGGTGGCCTCCCACCCGAATTTGGGAACGGGGCGATCTCCCACCTGTCGTCCTTGAGCAGACTAATCCCCTGTAAGCGGAAGGGCCTCTGGGAGGCTGGGGCTGGGAGTTCCCGACCCCAGGCTGTCTGTCCTCTGGGCTGCGTGCGAAGCGGCCGCAGGGTTGTGTTTCCTTTGTGTGTTTCATTGTGACAGTCGTCACTTCACCCTTGCTCGTTGCGCCTTCTCGGGCGTCCCTGGCACGTCCACCCTGTTCATTGCTCGGCTAGGTTAGATCACTCTTAGACCATGTAAGTGCCGCCGCCGGCTCCGGGAGGCCGCGAGACAGTCGCTTTCTTGCTCCTAACCCCCCTCTCTGTCTCCCAGGGGGGGCTCGCTCGACTGTGGAGCGCTGTTAATTCTGCCGAAGGATCTCGCGGCCGCCAGAAGCCACCATGGGACACAGTAAACAGGTTCGGATCTTACTGCTGAACGAAATGGAGAGACTGGACAAGACCCTCTTCAGACTGGAGCAAGGTCGGGGCAATTTGTTTCCTCCGCTCGTGTGTGCCTTCTAAATTTTTGATTCATTGACCGTCCTCTGAATGCTTTTTAAACTTTAAACATAATTTCCAAGTATCTTCTTGAAACTTGATTTGTGCAAAGATTGTGCTGTGTGCTTTTTTTTTTTAAGAAAATGTTTATATATAAAGGTTCTTTGATTTGAAGCTTGAGTTTCAATACATTGAGTGGGGGAGAGAAGATTGAAAATTTTTATTTACAGCAATAAAGTCCTTCGTCTTGCTCGTTGCCTACCAGAGCAATAAGGCTAATCCAGATATCACTTATGAAGGTGATTTGAGTTAAAAACATTTTCTATCTGTCATGTCAGGGCAAGGATAAACTGGTTCACTTTTCTTTGCACACAAACTGCCACTTAAGACAGACATTAAATAGGTGATCAGAAGATTGGCCACCTTATTTCTAATAGCATTTTTAAATTAAAACTTGGTAAATTGCTTCATTTGTAATTTTGCTTTGGGTATATCTGTAGTTTTGCTTTTTTATACTTCTCACTCTTCCTTTACTGAACCTTTGAAATAGTAAAATAGAGCAAAAAGTAGAGTTAACTATGTTTGTCAAAAGCTTCTCAGTTACAGAGAAAGTAAAAGCTGAAAACATCTTCTTGCCAGATAAAGACCAAAAGAACTTATCAGGTTACGCTGAAATACAGTTGAGCTGTGACTTAAAAGATCAAATTATATTTGTATAAGACTAATTAATAGATGCTTATTTTCTTAGACTAAGTAATTTTTCAATTTTGAAAACCTCAAACTTGTGTGACTGTAACTTATGAAATAAAAGTTTAATGTTTGAAAAATAAGATGCAGTCCACCTTATTGGTATACCATGTGGACGCTGATAGTCATAAACATTTTGAAGGAGCTTTTTGTTTCCATAATATTTTGAATTACATTTTTAAAAAAATTCCAGCCATAAAATGTGTTACCAAATGCCATCCTCATCTTCTTCCAGCTTTGGCATTTAAAGTCACCGAGTTCTTATTCCATTTTTTATTTTCCTGACTCTGCAACTTTCCTGGTTTTGATTTTTTTTTCCTCCCCTCCCCTGTTGAGTATTCCTGTCCACTGGGTGTTTCTTTCTGGGCTCTCTCCTTTTCACATTTTAATTCACCATGGGTATCTGCTAGGAATTCTTTCTCTCTCTGTTCTCCTGCCCTCAGAGAATTACACTTTCTCAGGCCTCAGCTGCTGACTCCTTTGAAAGAAAGGCCTTGAGCTCTGCTTTCTTCTTGGAAGCTTTCAGGGTATAATGACAAAGGTAGAGATCCAGAATGTTCCTGGCTCCTGCTAACAAACTGACTTTGGGCAACTTACATTAATTCCGAGCATTGATTTCTTTATTTGTGAATGAAGGAGGTAATTGCTGTGCTTCCATCTTCCTGGGTTTTGAGACTCAGAATTAATATGTGACTTTCTCGTGACAAAGCCCTGAATAAATAGAAGGAACAGGTGGATCACTCTGAGTATTCCCACCCTAGGCCTTAGCTTCAGCCTGATATATGCTATAGAGTAGACTTCAGATAGCCACACTTGAATGTGCTTAAATCTAACACTTCCAAAGCCATCCATTCCCCACTCTTAGTCCTTCTTTATTTTTCAGCTTCCCTGTTTTAGTGATGTCTCCGTTGTCACAGTTTTCTGGGCCAGAACCATATATACTTCTTTGATACTGTCTTCTCCTTAACTGCGGTCTCTCTTTCAGTCTGTAATGTCTTTCCAGATATCTCTGCTTGCCTGTCTGTCTAGTCCACGTGCCTGAATACAGATACCAGTATAATCTTCTTATACAATCTCTGTTCTTTTTATTAATTTATATCTGTGAAATGAAACCTAAACACCTCTGTCTGGCCTCCAGGCATTCTAGAACGGGCCTCCAGCCTGCCTAGTGCAGATAATATCTCATCATTCCCCATCACTCATGCTACTGTCTTTACACTTGTGCCGTTAATTCCTGTTAAGTCCCCGTAGGGGCTTCCCTCACTGCTGTCCTTATACCCCCACTCCTGTCAGATCCCTCTCTGTCTGCTACATCCCTTTTACATGTGCTGTGTGTTGCCTTCCTTTCAGCTTTCTAAAATTCTGTTTCCTCTAGGAAGCCTTTCCTTAATTTTTTGCTGTCTGCTTTCCTCAGTATCTGATTGCATGAGCACAGAACTATTAAGTGCTGAGAAATGAAGCTTGTTAGTCTCATGATGTTGAGATAGAGATTAAGCTCTGTGATGCTAAGGATAGACTTACAAATTAGTAAATACTGGCTGGTTGATTACTAGAACTCCTGTTAAAACAAGCAAAAACTGTATTCAGCTAAGGTCTTTGAAGAGGAAACTGCGAAGGGTTTATGAAGTAAGAATGATGTGGTTGACTCTCTAACTCTAGTCAAAATTGGTAAATTCATCCAAATTTTGTTTGTTTGTTTGAGACATAGTCTCACTCTGATCCCTAGGCTAAAGTGCAATGGCACAATCTTGATTACCGAAGCCTCAACTTCCTGGGCTTGGACGATCCTTCTGCCTCAGCCTCCTGAGAAGCTGGAACTATAGATGCATGCCACCACGCCTGGCTAGTTTTTTTATTTATTGTAGAGATAAGGTCTTGCTATGTTAGACTGGGCTCAGGCAATCCTCTCACCTCAGTCTCCCAAAATGCTGGAATTATAGGTACAAGCCACCATGCCTGGCTAGATTCATCTAAATGTTATAAATGGGAATATAACTTTTTTTTCCAATAATGGTATAAACACATTATTTTAGAAGATAATTTGAAGTGTGAAAGGTGAATTTAAGAGAAGGAACATTGGAGACGAGAATCTTTGCGAAAGTTATTAAAAACACATCTGGTTCAAGAAGAAAGTTTAACAGTATAGAATTGAAAAAGATGGGACGGTATGAGATATTTGAAATTTTTTAGGACTTGGTGACTAATCAAATGTGAAGAAAATGTTTGGATTTTTAAATATTTTGTTGGTCACCAAACCCTACATTTTTCCTTCCTTCTCTCTTTTCTACAAGAAAAGACTGCCCCTCATTTTTATGTCTGACATTTTTAGATATTCTTCCAATTCAGCAAGAATGTGACTTGACTCAATAATTATTTCTTCTTGCCAAATCGTAGCCTTTTCCTGAACTTCCTGTCTCAGTGAGTGGTAGAAAAATGAACATAGTCAATAGTCTCCATATCTGGAGTTCCTCCATAATATAGGTTGATCGGATTTACAGTTTTTACTGTTTGTTAAGAAAAGGTTTATATATAAAGGCTCTTTGACTGAAAGCATGAGTTTCGATCAATTGAGTGGGGGCAGAAGAAGGAAAATGTCTCTTCCCGGTGATCGTTGACTCACTCATCTTGCCAGTTACCCGAAGACAGAGGCAGCTGGTCCGAGTGAGGTGTCCAGTGTCAGTACAGGACGGGATAGCCATGCCGTGTGCCACTGTGCCCTCACTAATTTTAGCTGAGGGAGGGACTGCGGAACCTGACACCCTCTGAGTCACTGCAGGTTCATGTGCTCTGTGTAGAGGCTTTGGTTTCCACGATTCGGGTTAGAGTCCACGGGACGGCAGTGTACCCAGTTCACGGTGATCTGTGTGTTGGGCTGTCTGGAGAGTTTTCCTTTCTTTCTCTCTTTCTTCCTGTCCCGGTTTCTTTAAATAAGTAATGTGCTAATGTATGAATTGACATTGACACTCTCAGCTTGTGTCAAATGAGTTAAAAATGAAAAAGACATACTTGGTGTGGACGTGTTGCCAGTCCCACCCCTGGTTTGCTGTGTGTGGCCAGCAGCTATGCCTATCCCAAGCTGGGCCAGCAGATATGCGGGTTGAGTTATCCTGAATACAGGGCTCCGCAGCGCTGGGGAAGGAGGAGACAGTCACCCTAAGCAGCCGCTTCTCCTCCCAGAGGCTTCAGACGTAAGGGGGAGACAGAAAGTGAGATTTGTTCTCAGATTCATCCATTTTGGAAATGACAAGCAGCCTTCAATTGTGGGAGGCTTAGAAAAGACTTCCAGGAAAATAAAAACACTTAATGTACTTCTTTGAGGTAAACGTGAGTGGGAAAGTTCACTGCTTTCTGGGAGGAAATGAATGACTGAGGCCAAGCTGGCCCCATTTTTCCTGCAAAGGTTCAGATGTCAAAGCCCTTCAGCCTTCAGGCCAGCACCCTGTTGCAGCAGCACAGGAGCTCAGGCCACACTCCCAAGGGGGGGCCCAGAAACCTGGAGTTTATTATTAAAAATTCTGTATTTGTTGTTACATATTTAAACTTCAGTGCCCTCTCAAAGTCCTCTCCGTTTGATGTAATACACCCACTGAGACGCTTTTCCCACTGCTCAAAACAGTTTTGAACTCGTCCATTTCTATGCCTTTTAGTGCTTCTGCTGTTTTGTGTTTTACCTCTTCCACATCGGCAAAACATTTCTCTTGGAGAACTTTTTTTATCCAAGGAAACAAACAAAAAAATCACTTGGGGCAGGATCAGATGAACAGGGAGGGTGGGGCATGGGGATCATGCTGTTTTGGGTCAAGAACTGCTGGATACTAGGTGTGGTGTGGGCAGGTGTGCTTGTAAGTCACCATCATGAAAAGGGCAAATGCATTGAAAGAATCTCCAAAAAAAATTAACTGAAGCTAAATGCAGCCTCTCACAACAATGCTAACTGATATACTGATGCCATTGGGTTCCTGGAATACTCACCTAGTAGGGGAAGCCTGTACTACCAGGGGCCCAACCTCCAAAAAATAATTCTGGGTTTTTTTGCATCCCCCCTCATATGTGAGCAGGTATGCTGTGTTCCAATGAAACTTTATGTACAGATGCAAGAATTGGGCTGGGTATAGTTTGCCAACCCTTGCTATACCAAAAGCATTTTGAATATGAAGTTTTAGAAATGCTCCCTCTGTCATTATAAGATTTTATCCATCATAATACCTGCCCGCTTTAAAAACTTGATAACAGAAT